GGGTTAATTGTCGGGTAGTTAGTTTTTTCATGCTCGTGAGATAAAGGTATTGATATTTTTTTATGGGGAAGACGAAGTTGTCATTTTCATGTTGCTGTTAATGTTGTTGCAGTTTTTTATATTCCTGTTATTCTTGCTGTTATTTTATTCTTTTCAGTATTACCGTTGTTGTTGTTGTTGTTGTTGTTGTTGTTGTTGTTGTTGTTGTTGTTGTTGTTGTTCTTGTTTATGTTGTTATTGTTGTTATTGTTCTTGTTGTTGGCGATGATTTGTTGTTGCAGCTGTGGCTGTTGAGATGGTGGTAGTGGTAGTGGTTGTTGTTGTAGATGATGATGATGATGATGATGATGATGATGATGATGATTAACAGACACAATGTCTTACAACAAACTCTAGTTTGCACGACAGAACATAAATAACTAGCACCCTCTATACCTTCCTCTGTAATCATGTCACAATACCCCCAAAATGCCACACCACTACCACCCCGAACAAACAAACAAACAAACAAAACAACAACAACAACCGACGAATAAACACTGAACAAAATAGCTAGATAGTGTCCTTACCTCATCGTGGCTGGAGCTTTCTCCCTATTCTTTTCGCTACCACACCAACTATCGCCGTCGTCGTTGTTGTTGTTGTTACTGTTGTCGCCGTTGCTGCTGCTGCTGTTGTTGTTGTTGTTGTTGTTCACGTGGTGATGATGGTGATGGTGGTGATGATGAATCAGGTTGTAGTGGCTATCACCTAGCCTGTGGACGTGCACGCAGGCTTTTCCCCGACCGGCCTCATCCCCGCTCCCTTCCTCCTCGCTGTGGCGCCGGGGGTCGGGCTGGGCCGAGGGGGCGTGGTTTATCAGCTGATCGTAGGCGGAGTCAGGGAGGTAGACGTCATCTTCGTTGTCGACCACGCAGCCGAGTTGGGTCTGTAGAAGGGATAAGACATCGGACAGATGTTACATCATCGTGTTGTAATTCGAAACAACATACGGCGCTTGGATTCCTAACGGGCTTCTATATATGGTTTTCCCAAACAGGGACACCGAGGAGGCGATTTTTTTAGGTTTTCGTAAAAGTTTTACGGCACTTGCAACACAATAAGGTTTAAAAAAGGTGCCGAAGATTAGAGACGTTACAAGAGAGTAGCAAACACAAAAGAGAAGGAAGAGTGATTAGGACGATAGATGTTTGATAAGGAGCAGACCACACCAGAGCACCCGCCAACCACCCACGGAGGTTATTTGAACAAAAAGTAGTCCAAAGGAGTTATATTGAAGCTATGCAGTTGTTTGATAAGAAAAGGCATTGAACCATAATATATAACTAGAACCTTTTTAGCTTTAAAACGCTGTTTTAAAAAAAACAACAACAACAGAAAATAAGCCTCTCGAAGACGCCATGTGACCACAAGATTATACACACCACGCATATATGTAAACAGTAGAGTATCTTGGTATAAGATCCGCTTACCTCACGACGCAACGTATTTCATCCCCAGAGAAACGACAAAGTCAAAATAAGACACAACTATACCACAAAGAGGCGACAGAGTCAAATAATATAAATATGTTACAGCTTCACAGTAGAGCGACTACCCAAGCCGGATTCATTTAGATGTTCGCACTTGGCCTGTGTCGAATTGGCATGACGCACGTAACTCAAGTATGGGCCTACACACAGTCGGCGACGCGACTTTCTTAAGTACGGTGTACTCTTCTTATGTGATGCCTCTCGATCTTTGCCAGGGTCAGCTGGAAGGTGGTGATTTAGCGAGCCAGCCCCC